CCCCCCCCCCCATCTTGCAAAAGGGAGAGGAGGAAGGGGAAGAAAAAATTTACTTGGTTTATGTGAATAATTAAAGTTTGGCAATATTAGATGATCAGCACAATATTTTAATTTATTCTCTGCATGGATGCCATGCTGGATTTTAGAAACTAGCAGTTTTCACTTATACTTGCTGTACTGCTTAAATAAGAGTAATACACCTTTTATCTTTTTAGAATTATATTGAATTGGGATTCTGAAGTGCACTGTAATCACAGCTAAATTTTACAATTATGCTCCCTGCTGGAAAGCATTAGGGAGTCTTCAGATGTTGCACATTGCTTCTCATGTATAGACAAATACCTCAATGTGTGTTATGTGTACATATATGTGGATGTTACTTCTATATAGAAAAACCATATTTACTTTATAGTTGAAATATATCTTATTTTGACGTTATTGATTAGTGAGAAGCTATAGGGAATCTTACAGATACATTAAGTGTATATAGAAAGATAATATGTATAACTGATAAATGTTATTTTTAAAAAATTTGTATAACTGCATGCTAATTTTAAAAATGCTATCATCATTCAGATGTAATTACCATATTTTGCTTACAGCTCAAAACTGAGTGTTCTGATGCCTTTATTGCAGGAAACATGAAAGAAAACAGAAGCATGATAAAATATGCAAGAAGTATGGTATGTGGTACTCTTTTTTGATACTTATTTTCTGAATTGATTCCCTTTTTCCTAATTATTAAATTAACAGCAGAAACAAGCTGCTTTATGAGCAGCAGAAGGAATCAAGCCCAGTTTCCTACTGATGCATGTCTTCTGTCACCTGAACACCTGATCTCATCACTATTATGCTCCTATTGTCTTCCTGCACTGACTCTCCCACTGGGCAAGAGACAGTGTGCTGGATGGGGTGTTTACTTGGGAGGGCAATTTAAATATATTGATTTAAATTAAGTAGTTCTTTCTATCTCTTCCCAAATAAGAGTACTGTTTTGTGGAGATTTTTTGTTTGTTCCTGAACATGATAAACCAATGTAGTTGAAATTGGCTAGTAGACTCAATGGTTATTGAAGGAGGATAAACTGACTAGCAGATATCAAGCTTAAACAAGAATGGAGCATGCAGCCTAACGTAGGGGTTAAAACTGCTGGTTTTTCTTTGTTTTTAAGCAGAGTTGTAGTCCAGTAGGAGAAGAATATCACAAGACTATAGGACCTGCTGTGTTGTATAGGTGGCTCTTATTATCTAGGCTTGTCAGTGCTTGCACTTTTCAATTGATTTGTTCATAGGTTAATAGTACTGTGTATTGAGAGCCAGATATGCTAAAACTATGCCGCACTTTTTATTATGCTAATTGCACGAATGTCAGAGAAGGTGATTCTAGGGGTCTGAACAGTCACTCAAAACTGTTAATTTTCATCCTCTTGTTAAACTGATTGGCAGTCTGGGAATGCCTTCATGAATCTGCAGCCTGCCCTTTGGCTGATGCAGAAGTGATACAGACAGTCCCTATAGGGAATTCTCTGCCTGGGAAGTGTTTGCAAAAGTATGCTCCTTTGCTGGAATGGAGGAAAAATTCACTGTGAAGCTTGAGTTTCAGGATGAAGAATGTTGTAGAAACTAGAAGTAATTTTTATTAAACTTCAGTCCTGTGGTATTTTATAGGATAATTGACCCTGTATCCCAACCACAATTCAGTTTCAAGAGGTTTGAGTGGTTGACAACAATAGTCCAGATTTTAAAAAAACAAAGCAAAACAAAAAACAAAATCCAACCAGCATCATAAAACACACACTTTTTCTTTGCTTCTCTTTAGAAGAGACCTTGGAGTCAGTTTCAACAAGGCTGAATCATTGGGATAGATCTGGTGAAGAACTTAAGACAATGGCTATGGCTCCAAAATAACACGCAGCAATCTACACAGATACACATATAACTCTTTAATCTCCTGGAGGCAGTGCAGCAAAGAAGAGTGAACAAGGTCCTGAATTCAGTATAGCAGTTAGTGTATCAAAGCACTGCATTGAGGTTAAATGATGTTTTTAAAGGCTGTGTTACATTCTGCTCATAAAACTAGTTTACCTGTCTGTTTCTGGATGGTTCTACATTTTAGTGAAGACAGTTCTCTCAGTGCTTAACTTTCAGACCTTTGTGGAATGCTTTGTTGGATCTTGTTGGAGTACTTCAGTTTCCTGAGGAAAATAATGGTATAATTCTGTGCCTCTGGAATATGTCTACCAAATTCAACAAATCTTGTTGGTAGCTATACTATGCAGACAGGTGTATGAGAGCTTGTGTCATTTTGCCTCCACTTGGAGCATGTTAGTCTATCAGTGACTTAATTAGAAACGAGTTCATACATTCATTGTGATAATGGAAGGTGTACCTTCTTATAAGGAGTCAAGTGTATTTGCTTCTTTGTGCAGTTGTGTTTTGCAATGCAGTTTACCTGCAAAAGATCATAATTCAACTATTAAAAAAATTCAATAGCAAACTTCTATATAAAATTTATTGTCAGGTTTCTTTTAATAGGTCATGCAACAGCCTTGGATCTTCTGTCTTCATTTTTTGCTGTCTAGTAAATACCAATGTTAGCATAATAAACATCTTACAAAAATTGCTGCAAATCATTATGGAGACACTAGATTATTTTACACTTTTACGCATTTCAGAGAGGATTCTCAGTTAAGTAGGCATGGATGAGTGGCAGAATGACAATGACTTTGTTAACCTGACTGTAGATTAAGATGATCATGCCTGAAATTTCAGTATTTGGTTGGCTTTAAGGGAATGCCTTTTCCCATTTCATCTACCAGCTTTCCTTGCCCCATTTAAATGGTAATTACACATTTATAATGCATTGCAGGTGTCACTCTAGCCACAGTCCTTTGGGAGCATTGGAAGCAGTAGACAGCTTTAGCAACCAGGAATACACACTTTGAATTGTTTCTTTGTTGCACAATTTTACAGTATTTTTCATTTGCTCACATATATGAATGCAGTATGATTACACAAATTATATGTTGACTGTTAAAAAATTTTAAAGTAGAGTTCAGAGCACTTTGCAGCTTGTGTAGTATACAAAGGAACTACAATTTAATTGCTGCTGCATTTGCTGCTATTGTATGTTCAGTATAGCATTAGTGAGAAGCTGCTTTATTATTTATTTCAGGATTTTGCCTGGTATTAGTGGAAGGATTCTTTCTCTTCATTTTTACAAAATTATTGCCTTTCATGATTTTAGGCTTCCACACCACTTCAGTTCTGCAAATGTTTTGATCAGCTAATTTAATGATATGTAATCCTATCTCCTTTATTTTATGTGAGACGTTGATTTTTATATTCAGTAGTTTGTCACAGTAAATGTTCCTTCTGTTCAAGATAGATACTTTGTCTTGACCCTCTTTAGTGTTCTGAATGCAAATTAGGGAAACCTTGTATTGGTATACACTTAAAGCGATTTAGTTAAGAATAGAGTTGTTAATCTGGGGGTTAAAAATAAAGAGGAAAAGTGTAATAAGGGATGAAGACATGCCACAAATGAGGGTTTTTTTGTGGCATATATAGTCTCTTGTAAGTATTTTACTTGTTAATTTTAGTTTTGGGCAGTGCTGATATGTGAGAGTCAGATCTCAGTGACTGAGAAGCTGCATAGTTAACATAGTATATAATATAAATGAGTATGCTGGAAAGAGGTATTAGATTGCTTTGTCATTTCATACATATTAGAAGGCCTCTTTATTTCATACAAGCTAATGAAAGATACTTGACTACCTTTCAGATTTTTGAGTGTTTCTTAAATACTGCTAAGTAGGCCAAATATTTGTCAAAATGAAGGTAAATAGAAGTAAGCTGTTTGAAGTTCTTGTGTCTTGTGTGTCATTATTCAAGTTCAGCAGTAACAGGTAATGGACTTTATTGCAAACAAGACTGTTGAAGCTACAAATATCTAGCTTCTCTGAATCTCTAAGTGTAAATTACAAGTTGGGTACTTGCTCTCATGTCAAATTGGAAACAGTTGAGAGAGACAATTCATGTCTGGTTCAAGGCAGCACATGAGCTTTAGCTGAACCAGACATGCTATCTATCCAATTAGCATAGGCTTGCAGCTCTTCTTTGAGTGTCACAGCTAAGAGCAACTGTGGCAGCTGCCAGGAGCTTTTTGTCATGCTCCTTTTTTTGTAGGTCTCTAGATTGTTTTTGTCCACTTCCTGAAGCCTGATACAACTTCTTCAGTAAGAATTGGTGCAAGTGGTGAGCTGCTGCCTCCCTTCTCTCACTTAATGTAATATTATAACGTACTTAGAACACTGAGGATAAAAGAAACTTAAACACTGGGTGCAGAATTGAGCGCAAGACTCAGAGCAAGGTCTATCAGATGTTGTAACCTCTGGTTATCCTCATTTGGAAGGATTTCTCTTGGAATACCTTCTTTACCAGGAGATTAATTTCTGAAGTCATGACCAATAATACACTGGATTGACCCATAGTTCTTAAGACCTGGTTAGTTCCAATATTGTCTAATAAAACAAAGAATTTTAAGTTAAACATAGTAATACCTGATCAGTAGTGGTGATATCTGTTCACTCGTAAACATAATTCAGTAAAATTAAAGCAAGTACTACTGGGAATGGCATTTGCAATAATGTGTAAAATGACACTTTCACTTGATATATGAGGACTAGTTATTTAAAATTACTTTTGGCTGAGTGTTTTGGGGCAGAGGCAGATAAAAGTATATTTGCTCCTGAATGGTATAGAAAAAGTTTATCAGGATTCTTACACTGTCCTCTGATTAATTTGAAGTTGCCACTATTGGATGTAAAACATCGTTTCCATTGGATTTCAGCTGGTTTAAGATGTAAGAGAACAGTGTCTAGTGTTTTACGGTGTTACTTTCAGATCTATCAAGCGTCAAGTATGTCTCTTGAATGAAATATAGGACACATAATAAGCACCTGCCAAACTACATAGAGAAGTATGCAACCTAAATTAATTCTGTCAGGGAATCTGGTACCACCTCTTGCCACTCTGTGGAAAGTGTTTCAAAGTTTGGTGCCTTGTGTTCTAAGTGGAACTTAATGAGTGCAGGGTGTTTATGCAATGCCAATTGTAATGAAAATGTTAATTTCTAGTACTGTTGCTAATTTTCTGTAGATGTCACGTAGATGTGTTTTGTATTTGGAAGGAGTGAAATAAAGTACTGCAAAAATTTGTGAGAATTGGACTACTCAGTTATCTTTCAGGTAACTAAATATATTAGGATCCATAGATCCTAGCTGCCAAAGTATTAACATGTCTGGAGGAAGGAGTGGAGGTGGTCTGGAAATAAAGTAAATGTTCTGTATTTGGATTGAGTTAATATTAATGCAGGAATGTTACCTGAAGGCAGTAAAGGTTGAATGGTAGGCCAAGGATAAGAGGTTTTTTGGTGTATAAGCTTACTTGTTGGCTAGAGTAGACTTAATGGACATTACAGCACTTTGTTAAATGCATGAAAGGCAAGAGTAAAATTTGAGAAGTAACTGCTTTCTAGAAGTTCTAAAAATATAAAAATTTCAAGATATCAAAATATTGTATATACTTCTTGACAATGCTGCCATCTAACCCATGTTCTTATTACACAAATACTTAAGATTTTTTTTTTTTAAAGTAGTTACAGAAAATGGTAGTACCTTTGACAGGTACTACCTGTCAGGTACTAATACCAGGTAAATAGACTGTATTTCATGTTATCTGGCTGAAATTAATGTCACTGGCTTACCCCTTCTTTGATAAATAAGGGCCACTATGTATAGTTTTGGTTTTAACTTTTAAAAATTGACTGCTTGTAATCTTGTAAATTTGAGTAATTATAGGATTTTTCAAACTTTTTCCTTAATGTTTGCTATTCCCTATTAGGTAGGTAGTTGCATTTACTAATACGAGAATCAATACTAAGCAGTTGTGCTTCTTGGTTGACATCTTAACCTGTCAGTTCAAAATTGCAACAACTGCAACAAGGTAGACAAAAATATAGTTTTCCTTCAGTGCCATTAGCTTTTGACTTTTAGATAGAACAGTGAATGTTCAGTATCTGTGTGCAAGTGCACATGAAAAAGAGGTGCGGTACGAAAAGGTCTGAGGGGGCTTCTTACAAGATCTGGCAGTGACTAGTGTAATCTTTCTCTTCTACTGTTGTGAATCTGAAAATTTGTGAATTGGGGTGGTTTGGCTTAGCTGTCTTCTGCCTCTTTGCCCTAAACAAATGAGCTGGAGAAGAGTCCAGACTTGCCAGACATCAGTACAAAATCTCAGTAGGAAAGATAGTGGTAGTGTTCCTGTTCTTTCACAACAAAAGGTCAGCCTCTGGACTTCTATAGGATGCTTTTGTTTTCAGTCTGCACTTCTGCCTAGCCCAAATCTGGTGTGTGGTTGAAAGTCTCTTTGAAATAATTGCTGTAGGGAACAGCGATTGCTTAGCTAACCCTTACAGAAGATGGTGTGCGTGTCCAGAAACTCAGCATAATTGGATGGCTTTGCAGTGCTTTCTGTGACAGGATTCTGGTAAAGTCATTAAGAATCTTCGTGATGGAAACATGCTGCAACCTGGATTAAGTGATGCTCTTGTTCTGGTCCCTGGAGGTTTTAATACATGTAGAAGTGATCTTCATTTGTTCTTGAAGATTATTGTCCTGTTGCCGGAATGCTGTAAGTGGCTGCGTGTGACAGATGGTTGTGTATAATCTAAGTAGAACTAAGTTAAAGTAGCAGCATCTTACATTTTAAAAGGATGATGATCCTACAGTAACTTCAATTTATAAACTGGTCAGTCTGAATCTGTTCTTCCTGAGCCATCTCTATGTTTAGATTTTTGTAGACTTGACTCACAAATGCATTTTGTAGGGTATATCTCACAAACGAGAAATTTTTTTTTTTCTGTAAAAATTTTTCATAGAGAAATGTCCTCTCCCTGCTAAATCATGACATACCTATTCATGATTATAGTCTGAGAAAGAGTGCTTAAGAACACTTTCAATATATTATTATGCTTGACTGTTTGGGTAATAGAGCAACTATTACAAGAATTGCCTTTTGGTTTTGTTATATGGAGTACCTATTACAGTGATTTCAGTAACTCAAGGTTTTATGTAATAATGGTAAGAAAATGATAAATGCAGTCCTGTTTTGTTTTACAGGTCTTCGCCAGGATTCTGATAATCCATACAGCAGATTTGAGAACGAATAAAGCTGAGAACCTTCCACTAGAACTTGTAACTGCAGAATACAGGAAGATAGTTTGTTTTCATTTGCCCTTTGGGCTTTTTTCCCAGTTTTTTCTTCCTTGTTGTAAAACTAGGAGTGGACAAAGACTTCCAGAAATACATGTTTCTATCTTCTACCTATCTCAAACTATTTTTTTTTATAAATGCTTTTGGTTGTTGAAATGTTTGCTGATTATTTTTTTATGGTATCATTTAAGTGTGAAATACTATCTTTCCTCCTCTCAAACTATTTTGTTACTTGGTGTAGGTGGCTGATAGTCACAATCATGTGTTTGAGTTCAGCCTTAACTGCCACTTAAAACAGTTGTTCTCATGTTCCTAAATAATATTTTTCTCTACTGTATCTTTTTTTATAAAAATAAAAGGTAACATGGAAGCACAGCTTCACAGAGCAGAAATAGGTGATGTTGCTATTGATGAGAAAATGTACCAGGCACACTCTTACGTACTACCATACTATGAGAATTGGGTGGAGTTTTTTATTCTGGAAAAAGATCTTGGAGTGTAATGTCTAAGGGCTGACAGAGGGGAGCATATTTGTCTTTGAGTAATTCAATTTAGTCATGGAAATGTTAACATGTACTTTGGATATATCACTGATGTGAGAAAAATTAGCAAAATTTGAAGAAAGTAGTTCTTGAAATAAACAGTTATGTGTGCCTAAATTTAAAGAGAAACATCAGTCTGTGAACAGTTTCTTCTGTCAGCCTAATGTATAACTAACAAAAAAAAAAAAGCTGCCACAATTCTGCAGTTTACCAAGGCTGACCCTGGCCAGCAGCTAAGCACCACCCAGCTCCTTGCTCCTTCCCTCCCCACAGTGGGCTGAGGGAGAGGATGGGAACAGCAAAAGTGAGAAAACTCTTGGGTTGAGATAAAGAGTTTAGTAAGTGAAGAAAAGGAGGGTGGGGGAACAAGTCCTGCAAAGGCAAACGCTGCCTCTCAGAAGCAGACCTCAGCCCCCCTTCCCCTCAGTTTTTGTTGCTGAGCATGATGCTGTATGGCCTGGAATGTCCCTCTGGTCAGATCTGGCCAGCTCTCCCAACTGTGTCCCTTGCCAGCCTCTGGCTCGCCCCTGGCCTACTGCCTGGAGCAGGGGGAGTGGGAAAAAATGAAACCTCGATACTGTGCAAGCACTGCTCAGTAAAAGCCACATCACTGCTGTGTTACCAGCACTGTTCTAGCCACATGTCCAAAGCAAAACACCATATGGGCTGCTGTGAAGACCATTACCTCCTTCCCAGCCAGACCCAGTACAGTGAGAAAACAGTATTTTTTCTAACCTTCTACTGTTTGTTTGGTATTTCCAAAATGTGATTTATTTCTTGTCTTTCTTTTCATGGAGGTGGTTAATTGAGCATTTTAATAGCTTACCAGTATGATGCAGCAAGCAAAGAGCTCTTCCTGCTCCCCCATCTAATTCAGGTTCCCATTTATTCTGTACTCTTCAAATAACTTCCCTTGCTGTATATTATCCGTTAAACAAATGTACAGTATTGAAGATGTTCATCTTATTTTTATCAACATTCCTAAAATAAACACTTTAACATCTTTAGTTTTGTTCTGTTATTCTGTGCAATTTTAAGTTAACTTGGTTTGAAAAAAGTGATCAAGTATGAGTTTGGGAGAAGGGAAAGGAGGCAGTTTTGGTTTTGCTCTTTTTCTGACAAGAATAAAATCTTAAGAGCATACAGGTGTAGTGAGAATTAAATCTTGCCTGTGGGTGATGAGGTAGGTGAACTGCCATTCCTCCCAGTGCTAAAGAACCTGCCTCTACTTAGGCTTTAGTAACTATCACTTATCGCTGATTTTGGTACAGTGTTCACTTGCATTCTTTCACAGTTTTTACTTCTGTAAACAGTCTCTCTATATACAGTTTCTCAGGAATTTATGTAAAAATCTGTTTCCAAGTTCCTGAATCTGTATTGTACTTAATGGAATAATGGTCTAGCTTTCCTTTTATCTTAACTCATATTTAGCATGGTGTTTAATTTTATGTTTCTTCATCTGTCATCTGTTGTCAGGTCTGAAATATTACTCAAATGGCTGTCTCTGAAGAATGATGGTCTGTGATAAGAGTGAGTTGATAGTGTGGAAATAAAACATGCTGATGATTTTCCCTGGAGATAACTTTTGCAAAAATTAAGGTCTGCCTGCTGTCTCAGACCCCAGTAGTGACATTCCTGACTTAATAGAAGAGCATTTTTCTTCAGCACCTGCTACAGTGTCTGAAGGGCTGTCATGTATTCTAACAAAGGGGGGAGCGGGAACAACTTTTCTTACAGTTTCAAAGATGGCAAAATACTTGGAGAACCAAAATATGTTGAGGCTGTGGAATGGGTGCTGTGTTGATGGAGAATAGTTGTGTTACATTTAAAGAGAAGGCTGAGCGAAATCCATGCAGTCTTGTACACCTTGTTAGTTAGCTTGGTCGTGCCTAAGCCACGGTTGTGGGCATCAAAAGGTAATAACTGTTGTGTAATTTACCTTAATGAGATTTACCGTAGACTAAACATTAATTTTATAGTGTAGGCTGTAATTTATACAAAATATGAGGCTGGACATCTAATACTGTATAATTTTGCTTACACAGCTAAAACAAGACTATTAATTTAATGAGACTATTGTGGACAGCAGCCTTAAAACTTAATAGAAAACACAAATATCCCTAAACAATTCCCAGACTTTTCAGATTACTTAACCTTTTTTGCTATGTTCATTGGAGCAATTAATTGGATGAAAAAATTGCAAGATATTAATTGCAGCCTTCTCTGTTTTCTTCTGTGTCAGTATTTCTTACTTTTACAGAAATACTGGATTTGGCTTATCAGTAGAAAAGTTGCTACTCTTTGTATTTCAGTGTAGCCACAAGTAATTTGGAAAACAGCTGTAGACAGAGGTAACGTATCTTCGATTCTCGGGTGTGTGAACAAAGGCATTTATCATTTTCAGTATGAGCTTCCCCTCCTTCACACTTTTTCAACAAAAGAAATAGCAAGGATGCAACATAAAACCAAAATGAAAGTAGGGAAACAGCATAACAGAAGCCTGAGAGCCATAATATCGCTGCTAATTAGTTTTTCTCAAGACTTCCTTTTCACACTCTATTCTCTCTATCCTCTGTCTTTACACTTTTTATTTTAGTGGGTTTTGCTTGTTAATTTTAGTAGTGAGGGAGTTGCTCTATCTGAAAAGAGCAGCAATCTTGGAAACGAAAAAGTTAAAATGTGTGTTTATCTTTCCACAGAACAGAGCTGCTGGTACTGAAAACTCAAGTGGGTCAGCCTTAAGAGTGATGTTGCTGGGTGTGATTTATTTATACAAAGGGAATTTTAGTAGATTGAAGCATGCTGTTTTAACTTACCTTAATACAGGAACATACTTTTTACCACTTCTGAAATCTTGGATTTGATGAAGAGTCCCTTAAGTTTTCTGCACCATGTCTTGCTTAATTGTTGTTTGATTGTGAAGTAAGCATATGGAAATAATTTTGAAAAACAGTCAATTTCTGTTTATTTGGATTTTTTTCTCACAGTATCTTTGTTTCAGACTTCCATATGTAGTCCGCATCATCTATACTTTCAAAAACTCAGTGTGCCAAACTGCTCTTTCTTATTATACCAAGTATGTGCCTGAGGAGTGGCTCTGAACTGCATGCCAATATCTTGCAACCCTAGGATGCCTCCAACTGAACTGCTGGACATGCAGTTCTCTAGATTTTTAGTTGGTCCGGAAAGAAGTGGGAGGAATCAGCTAGCATGCTCTTCTTCCCCTCCTTCTTCTGAGTGTCAGGAGCCAAACAGACACAGAGTAAAGAGGAAAAAAGACACTTTGAGAGGAAAGGATGGGGAGATGATCAGGGTGAGAGTGAGGAAATCAGCAGTCTGGGGTAGTGGTGAAGTTGGCAGCAACTGCATGTGGCTGTACCCCCAGATCCTGCCTGTCTCTGGGCTTGATCACATTCAGTTTTGGGGCTCTAAATCAGCCAGCATCTCTTGACTGCCCTGTGCTTCAAAGTGTGAATCGGGGAAGTTATATGGGTAGATGCTTTTCAAGGATTACACATGCTCTCATATTTGCCTAAGATGGCAGAGCCAAGCTTGCTGTCAGTTGGCTGATTTATCCATTCTGCTGTCTTGGTCCTAGAACTGCCACTTGGAGGACAGAGAGGAGGGAATGCTTGTCAAAGTAGGTAGAGAGTGGCATTTCATGACTGAAGTATCGTTATTTCCAGAATATTCCAGAAACCATGTTTCTCTGACACTTGAAAGAATCCTCTGAGACCATTCCTCAGATGCTGCTTCACCCAAAACTTAAAAGAAAGGGTCAAGGTTCTGATACCTTCAGGCAAAATAATTTATTTTAATGGCTGCACATGGTTTATAGTCAATCTGTGACTGGGCAAGCATATACTCAGTCTTTGTTTTGGCATCACTAAGGCTTTGGACTTGGCATGAGAGGATCAAATGTTTAAACATTTAGAAGTGTGTAGTGGCTTTCAAGCACAGAACTCTATTTTGTCAACTCCTTGTCATCTTCGTGACTAGATCTTGTCATGTATCTCTGGTTATGTGTGAGTTTTAAGTGCATTTATCCTCAACAACACACTTTAGTTATCAAAAACCCAGTCTCTGCTTTCTTTTCTGATGCTGAGTTCCTACAACAGGTATTAAATGTGTGAGATGAGAACGTTCTTTGTTCCACTCTGACTCTTCATGGCTGCTTTAAGCCATGGTGAAATGTGCAAGCAGTGAATGAACCAAAACATCCATGAACAAATAAAGTTGTGAAGGGAGGCAAAAGGGAATAGATAGTGGGGAAATGGTGAACATTAGAACAGTGGTCAAAAGAAGGTGTTTTCTTTTGTACATCTTTGAGATTTGCTTTTGTATTTTGTTATGTTCTGTCATCTTAAATAGAAATCAAAATGCTCAGCTACATTATATTGCCATATCAAATGTTCCCACATTGATTCACTTGCTGTATCAACCTTGTGGCTTATTGTTTGTAGGAAGACTTACTGAAAATCACACACTTTTCAGACTTATGTAGTTTACAAAGAAATTATGTAGTGGTGTCTTAAGTGAGCTTCCACAAACCAGGAAGGGCAGAAGCTAAGTCTAGACCTAGAGAAAACTGCCGGTGGATTTCAGCAGTCTAATAAGTTTATCAGTCTTCTGACTGAATGTCTCGACCATCAGTATGTATTATTAATCAAATGGAGTGACTTTTCTCTTGCTGATATAGCAATTGCTTCTAAACAAGAAAAAGTAATAGAGGTCAGAGTTTTTGAGCTGTCACTTTGAGTCAAGTGCTTGCGTGGCAGATAAATGGGTAATAGAGTAAGCAAAGTCACTTTGAGAACCATGTAGGTTTGAATGTGTTTGTGTATTAACATGATGAAGTAAGATGCAGGATGAAGATAAGTTATTTGCCATTGGTCCAGGAGCATGTTTTTTTGCTTTCTTTTAACTTTTGACCTTCAGTCCAATCTGTGCAAGGAGCTGTCAAGTAGCAGCATAGCAAAAAGGATTAGGAAATGTTTAATTACCTCAGGTTGAGGTGGATTTTCATAGCACTGTTCCTGTCACAGTTCCTGAGCTAACTACATCTCTGACCTGCATCTCAAGGGCAACCTTTCTTACACCCCTACTTGTCGCCTGTCTTGAAATAGAACCAGCACTCGATGTTCTCAGACTAGCCCTAGTTACTTATTTCCCATTCAGGAATCACACACCCCCATACCCATGCCCTCATGGAAAATGTCCTTCAAGCTCCCATTACTTCTTTTCATTATTTCTTTTTCCTTTGTATGAACTTGGTACTTCTTATAACCAGATTACCTCTTAAGCCTTCAGCCCTGGCAAAACACAGTTTGCAACTTTTCAAGGTGGCAATATCCAAGGTGAAAATTTTGCCTATTGTATTGCAGAAGTACCAAAATTTTCTTTAATTTTTGCCTATTGTATTGCAGAAGTACTGTATTTTTCTTTAATGCTGCGGTCTTCTTCCTGTATGTTCTTGAAATTCACAGAATGAATTCCGATCAGTTAAGGACTGGACAAATGAGATTGTTATGAAAGAGAGTCAGCATGGCATCTGCAAAGGGAAATCCTGTCTCCCTGGCCTCCTGGGTTCTAGGAAGGTGCTGGTGAGCACCCAGGTAAAATCCATCTAGTGAGGATGATACAGCTGGATTTTCAAAAAGCCTTTGACAATACTGCGCACCAGAGGTTACTGAAAATACAAGTTTGTCTGAAAGCTTGTTAAAAGATAGAGTAAATAATTTCTCTGAATGGAAAAGATGAGACGTAAGGGTGTTCCAGGGGTAGGTGCTAGGACTCATCCTAATCAACATGTGGCGACCTAGAGAAGGGGGTGTGCTGTGAAGTCTTCAAGTCTGCTGATGATAATGCAGGACTAATGACCAAGTCTGTGGCAAGACTCACAAAATAGAGGAGATGGGCAGATAAGTCTCAGCGTAGACAAAGGTGAAGTAATACAGCTGAGGAAAAATACCGTGTCTCTGTAATGCCAAACTTGGAACTGGTGCC